GCGCGTGTGTGTGTGTGTGTGTGTGTGTGTGTGTGTGCGTGTATAATTTTTTTAATGTCTGTTAAAGCAAACTTCATAGTGTCAGGGAATTGAAGATGACCTAGATTTCATCTGCAAATTGGAAGGTAAATTGTGATGGATGCAGTTGGGTAAGGTAGCACACACCTTTGATCTCAGCAACTCAGGAGGCTGAGGCAGGAGGATCGCAAGTTCAAGGACAGCCTAGGAAACTTAATGAGACCCTGTCTCAAAAATAATAAAGGGCTGGGGATGTAGCTCAGTGGTAGAGCATCCCTGGGTTAAATCTCCAGTACCACACACAAAAATAAATAAATAAATAAAAATAAGTGTTGCTTACACACATCATGGAGTACTCTGCAGCATCAACAAGCTGGAGAATTAGATATACATGAACAAACATAGATCGACATTAACAACTATTGCTGACTGCAATGGTATGACCATGCAGGAAAACAGCTTGACGGTTTGGTATAAAGTTAAACATAAGTCTACCATACAGCCCAGGAATTTGTTCGAATGCATTTATCCAAGAGAATGAAGACCTCTGTCCACACCAAAACTTAAGTTTCCATTGCAGCTGTATTCTTCATAAGTGGAGACAACCTAAATATCCATCAACTAATAAGCAAATAGGTCATAGTGTAACCATGCAATAAACTAATATCCAGCAAACAGGAATTAACTATTGCTTCACTCTATATAAATGCCTCTAAAAGCATTAGACTGAGTGAAAGAAGCCAGACCAAAAGAGAACATGTGGAATAGGTCCGTTTATATGAACCTTTATAAAATACCATTCTGATCCACAGTGACAAAACCTTAACAGTGCTTGGCTTGGGCCAGTGGGAGGAAATGGGCATTGACTGAGATGGGTCCAGTGATGAAAGTGCTTTCTTGGTTACCCAGGGATCAAAGTCCATCATCATTTACGGTTAAAATGTTATTTTATGTAAATCACATCCCAAGAAAGTTGACTAGGCAAAAGCTTGTACTGATACACATATAATATAGGGTACACGTTAAAACATCCAAAGAGGTATCTGTGGAAGACGCATGAGGGTTGATAATGAGTGGAGAGCCAATGAATCAGTTAAGTAAAACAACAGGAGGACCTTGCATAACACCAATAGGATAAATTTGCCACAGATAATTAACTCACCCCCTACATCAGAGGACACAAGAGAGAAAAGGTGTTCTATTGACAAGAGACTCACTTCTAAGGATGACTAGGGAGGAAATCAGCCCCCAGGAATGGAACCTTCCAGAAAAGGCTACAGAGAAGCTGAGATACCCTTGGAAGGAAGGAAGGAAAGAAGGAGAGAGGGAGGAAGGGAGGTAGGAGGGAAGGAGGGATGGAGGAATGGAGCCACGGGAAGGAGGGTGGGCAGAAGAGGAGAGAAGGAGAGAGGGAGAGAGATTGAAGAGCCCTATCATAAGCCCTTCCATTTGTTCTAGAGGTGCTGACTAGCAAAATAAGCTTCCAAAATAAAAGAATGACCTGAATCCTCTGTGTTTATTACTGATGGGAATCCACAGCAGTGTTCAGCAGTACAGAGAATGCTCTTAAAATACCCTCTCCCTCTCTGGCACAAGAGACTATGAGACAAAATGTCCTGATGACTCCGCAGACTAAAAGAGAGACTCCCCTATGCCTGAATTATATCTCGGTATCTGCCACTGTTAATGGTCCAGGAGATGGGACCTCCTGACTTGGCGGTGGTGGATCCTAAGCCCATCAGCGAGGGCAAACACACAGGCAAGGCTTTAATGGAAGCCGGCAGAGGCAGGGGAGTTCTCCTAGAGGAGAAGGGGAGAAATCAGGTTGGTCCCCATAAATGAAGGGGGGACACTCTTGCCCCTCCCAGGCACACTGTGCCCAGAGTTTTGAGTCTTTCTTTCACTTTATTTTAAATAAAATTCCTACCTACTTGCTTTAAAAAAAAAAAAAGAGGAGGAGAGCTTCTACCCATGTTCAGGGGATTGCAAGGGTGGGATCTTTCCACTGGTCGGGCATTGTGCACCGTCCTGGCCTTGAAGAGTGGACGGTTAGTCGGTGCCAGGAACTGTTGCATTCCCTCTATGCATGCCACTGTCCCACACTAACATCCTGGCCTGGGATAAGGCCAGGCTTTTGCAGCTGAGAGAGCACTCAGGTGGGGTGGAAGAAAACGTATACCATGATTTTAACCAGTGATGGGTAAAGGGTGGTCCCCACCATTCTCACCTCACCTTGTTTATTCTTGGAGACTTTATAGTAAAGCCATCTGGCTTTCATGATGCACCTCGTGTCTGGTGGATAAGATTGTTGAGGGGCCTGGGGAGGGGCGTGTATGCCATAGTCCTAGTGGGTAATAGATCATGAGTTAAGACCTTGGGAATGTACCTGCCCTCTATCCTCATAACGGTCCCTGTCCCTTTAAAGTTCATCTTCTCTTCTTACTATACAGAAATGGCTCAGAGTGGGATTTTAAATCTTTGTGTTAGTGACTAGAATACACTTGTATTTGAATTGTTTTTATATTTGAATCAGACAGCTTCTTGTTCTAAGTAATAACTCCTAAGTTATTGGAACTAAGGACAAAAATAGCCTATTATTGTTATCTGGGGTAACACTTTGTTTTCCAGATTCACGAGAAGAACCCAGTGGATTTTCTTTGTCATTTATTTATATCACAGAAGATGAATATGAAGATTGCTATTTAAGAATAGTATCGAGGCGCAGGTGCACACTTGTAATTCCAGCAGCTCCGGAGGCTGAGGCAGGAGGCTTGTGGGTTCAAAGTGAGACCCTGTCTCTAAATAAAATACAAAATAGGGGTGGGGATGTGAGTCACTGATTGAGGGCCCCTGAGTTCAATCCCTGGTACCCCTCCCCCACCCTCCAAAAAAGAATAGTAGACTATGTCTGAGGTTTTCCAAAGGAATTTGGAATTTATTCAATAAATTTGCAATATATTCAGCATGTTTCTGCACAGTAAGTGCTGTACTACAGAAGGGAAGAAAAACTTGGATTGAAACCCCAGTTCTGCCACATGTCAGCTATATGGGCTTGGATGTGTGGTTCAACTTTTATAAGCTTCATTTTCTTCTATATTAAAAAACCCCAAGACAGTGCAATGGCACACGCCTGTAATCCCAGCAGCTCGGGAGGCTGAGGCAGGAGGACCACAAGTTCGAGGCCAGTAGCCTGGCTCTGGGGCCAATCCAATACGCATCGCCCATTCTGCAGTGGCTTGGTCCCCCCCTCAACACGGTTTCCCAGCTCTGGCTTAGGAGAAGAGAAGGTAGTCCCTGAGATCCAGACTTAGAGGCATGACTGACCTCTCCTGCCACTAGAAACTTCCAAATGTGACAACCCATGGAGCACAGAGATGACAATGGGGACAAGCCCTACAGGCTAGTAAAGGCTCAGTGTGTGAACATAGGGAACTAGGCTTTCCTTTACCAGCCATTCCCTGTAAAATGTCTCTCAACTGTGGCTAGAGCCTGACAGGGAGGGGAGTGTGGAAGGAACGAGTGCAGGGATAAAGTCCAGCTCCTCCTGAGGTGTCACTAGGGCTTTTGCACAGTGCCTTTTCATCCACAATCACCAAAGGACACCCCATAAGGGCAGTCGGGAAAGGAGTCAGGGAGAAACCTTTGAGGTTCCCAGGGAGTGGCCCCAGCCAAACTCTTGCAGTAGTTGCACCTTCTGTCTCCACGCATCCGAAGGCAGACTGGGATTAGAGACGCTGCACACTCCTGCCGGACACGCTTCAAGCCAGGGTAGGACAGATGACCTTGGCTGAACCCACCATGCCTGACCCGCAGGACAGGTGAGTAGGAAGCACCTAGGCTGTGAATCCTGTCACCCAGAGTCTTGGAGAATGACTTCTTGCAACAACTGTTTAATTGGCCAATGGGTGCCCATTAATGTCCTCCATAAAGAAAGGCCGAAAGGTGCACCTCAGAGAGATGTGGGTGCAGAGGAGCTTACCCCTGTGACAATCCCTGAAGCGCTCCCATCTGAGAATCCTGAAAATCAGGATTGGGTCTCATTCTCCCAGTATTAAAGATTGAACATCCAAGAAATGCTGAGGCAAGAGCAAAGTTTTATTTAAAGATTGAAGGGAGAGAGACAGACTCCTCTGGAAAGGAGGGTGGTCCAGAGCTGGTATCTAAGGGAGTAGGGGTGTCCTGCACCTTTTACAGATTTCAGGTTTCCTTTCTTCTCATGTCCCTTCCTCCCATCCTGCCTATGTGGCCAAAAGGCAGGAAGGGAGCAGCCCAGAGGGTGCTTACTAACAGCTCTTAGCTGGGAGGAACAATTCCCTGGAGGCAGGTAACCTTAGCAAAAGTTTGGAGGGGGAAGTGCTCTGGAAGTATTAGCATTTTATTTCCTTTTGAATCAGCCTCCATCTTCCTGACCCAATCCTTCATTGTCTACACTGACTGTCCTTTTACCCCCATCTCAATGCCATCAGTCCTGATCTATTTTTAATCAATTTCATTTCCTTGGCCAGGTGCAGTGATGCATGCCTGTAATCCCAGTGGTTTGGGAGGCTGAGGCAGTAGGATCACAAAGTTCAAAGCCAGCTTCAGCAACTTAGTGAGACCATGTCCCAAAATAAAGGAGGGCTCAGTGCCCCTGAGTTCAATCCCTAGTCCAAAAAAAAAGGTGGTGGGGGGGACTACATATGAGCATTGGACATCTGGGCAGTTGCTGCATCTCAGTACAGACTTCTCAGTCAGTCAGTGGTAGCAGTTCTAGAGTGAAATTGGTGTCACCTGAAACACAGGCCTCCGTAATCACTGCAAGAGAAGCCACATGTATTTGGCTATTTTCAGCTCCAAATGGGATGGGGAAATGGTTTCTTCCCCTCACCAAGACTTAAAGTGGGAAGAATCTACCAAACACAGAGGGTTTCAGGCACTCAGTGGACAATACAATGACACACGTCAGGATAATAGAAACCCAGTTATTTTCTCATAATATGCACCTCAGAGGGAGGCAGTTGAGGGATAGGAGTTTACGACAATGTCACAAGTTGTGTCTGGGTAGCATGACTTGTTACCTAAAGGGTCCCAGGTCATACCCCACCCAGCAGAACTAGCTTCAAGACAGAAAGAAGGGGAACGGAGCTCTGCCAACTGCATCATCTTTCCTTTTATTGAAAAACTTTCCCAGAAATCCTCAATGGACACTAGCACACATCTCTTTAACTAGAATTGTGTCACAAAGCACACCCTGGAAATTCGGGAAACTGGGAAGCTATTTAGTCGGGTAGATTGCTAACTCCTTCCCCAAACTAGGACTCTATACAACAAAAAGAAGTGGAGCTAGGATGAGCAATGAGCACTGCCTGCTTCAGACAGCACTGGGCCTGGAAGGGTAAGAACCAGCCAACGTCTCCCCAGAGATCATATTATATGATCTCTGTATTAGCCTGCTTTCTGTTGCTCTAACAAAATACCTGAGAATGGGTACTTTTTAAGATGAGGTTTATTGAGCTTAGAGTCCAAGATTTGGCGACTGACTTCTTGCTCTTTTTACACCAACCCACTCTCACAGGAACTAATTGGGGCCCATGAGAATTACTTCCTCCAAGGGCCTCATCCCCAGGGACTGAATTACCTCACATGAGGCCCCACTTCTCACAGGTTTTACCACCTCAACACTGACACACTGAGGACCCAGCCTACGGCCTATGAACCTTTGGGGGACAAACCACATCACATCGTCACAAGCTCCAACAAAGCCAACATCGTAAGAGGAGGATGTCCCAGTCTACAACATGTGTGTATGTGGGGGTAGGGGAGGGTCCCTGGAAGCAGCCAGAGCCCCCATTCCGGAACTTCTGTGATGTCACACTTGATACTTCTTTCCTTCCCTGCTATGGGTGCCAATCCAAAGGAAGGAAACTGGTGGCTCTCATTTCTCTGAGAACAGGAAGCCCAGCCATGCTGTTCTCAAAGGATGTCATGCCCAGCCCAGCCTCCAGTCACACACTTCTGGTTTCTCCCAAGTTTCATTGCTTCTTCAGTGTGGTGCTGCTGGTCACTTTTAGTGGCCTCTTCTTTGCTTTTCCATGAGTCTCCTGTGCAAGGATTCAGGTTTCTTACAAAGAGATAGAAGGAGAATAGACAGTGACATGTGCACAGGGAGTGACAGCGAGAGAGAAGCGACTGCGCCAGCACAGACGTCTAGGGTGCCTGGTGCATTTAGGGAACTGCCGGTGGCTGGTAATGCTGGTGACATTTGGTGGCGTCTCCGTGGTCTGTCTCTAGCCTGGATATTTAGATCTGCCCTTAAGGTCTGTGAGTCCTACCTGAGGTGAGCCAGGCCTTGTGGGGAGCTCTGGTTGCCCCAGACTAGAACTGAGTCTGGCTCTGGTGTCAGATGCAGATGGCTGGCCCAGAACAGGGAGGGGGCCTCTCCCCTGGTGACCAGCCTTCTGTTTCTCATCACCTTCTGCAGTCTGGTTTCTCTCAATTTGTCAGACCCTGGTATCTTACATCGAGGTAAGGCCTCAGACCCCAGGGGGAGGAGGGGGCACCCAAAGGGCTGATGCCTTCAGGGGTGATTTCCAAAGTGCTAACCCACCTATGGCTCAGATTCCCTTCTCTCCATGTCGTCATTACTTAGATCAGGGGGCACTTCACATCCCAAGCCACTGAGGTGTGAAAAAACAGAATCCTGGACGTTTTCCAGTTGCCTTAGAAGGGAGGACCGGGAGGCTGGCGAGAGAGGCCAGCAGGCTCTTCCAAACCATGCAGTTCACTCTCCCTCCTTCCCATTCACACACGATTTCAAGCACTGATCAATCACTCTTGTGAAGGGTGGAGCTCCTCTGGCTGGAAACCCCCTTCTCTTTGACTGCCCGCCCATCGGAGTGGTCAGCTTGCTCAAAGGGACCACGATTCCCCTGCCCAGCTCCTCCCCGCCCTTCCTGTTGCCCAGTGATGCTATGGGGCTGCCCCGAGCATCACAGTGATGGAAAGACCTCCTGCCAATGCCAAACCTCTTCCCATGCCAGGCTCCTTCAAACAAGACACCATATGTGGCACGGATGTACTGCAGGGCTTTCCAAATGCAATGGTACCCAAAATGCTATTTCCACTGCCCACTCTGGACCTTCCACTGTCCCTCATGCAACATCTGTGTGGAGGTGAGTAGTACTCCTCCCTGTCCACTCACCAACCCATCACCAGGTACATGGCCAGGACCAGGAAACTCATATCTTAGGCGGGGGCCAGGGGTGGGTTTGAGACCGTCTTCCCAGACTGCTAAAAGTGACTCTCAGCCACTCTTGGTCACTTACATATGTTATCGCCTCTATGTCTGCACCTGTCCTGAGAGACTGGCCTTGGCTGCACAGGTGCTGACTTGCAAAGGGCATTACATCCGTGCACAGCCTGGTGAAGTCAGGGGGAGAAGAGCCAGCCCCTGCCCCATCCCCTGGCTTGCTGATACTCTATGCCCAGACCCTTAGGCTGGCTGCTGCCCTGTTCTGGGGATCTTTGCTTGTCCGCCTCTGGGTGTCCAAGTTGGAGGGTTTCTGGGTTCTGAGTGCTCTTCTCACATGTGCACACCCTGCACGGGTTTCCAGGTGCAGAAGGCTGGCTGGGCAAGGGTGTTCTTTTCATCTTTATCCAGTATCTGAGAAAACAGAGGCCCAGAGTTATTCCATCTCCTCCAAGTGACACCAGGCAGGTCTTGTCTCTGAAGACCTCACTCATGACAGGGTGGGGGGGACCTGATGAGCCATGGAGTCCTGTGCTCTAACAATGGAAATGCTAGGTTCTCCCTGAGGTGGGAGCCCGTGTGTAGGGCCAAGAGCAGGCGGCCTAGAGGGCCCGGATGGGGAAGGCCTCAGTATTTGGAGGTGATGGAGGCCAGGCCAGATAGAGCCTTGAGGCCTGCTTCCTCTCCCCTAGGCGTCTGACCACCCCTGCAAGTGGGTCAATAAGCATCTGTCATTGTAACTTCCGCATCTTCCCGGCTGTGGCTCGTGTCCCTTTGCCTCTATGCGAGTGCCCTGCTGGTTACCTGCGTGATATTCCTCCTGCGGACAAGACACACGTCCTTCTCCCTGGACAAAACCATGACGTATCCACACAGTCCCAAGGGTCCGCAATGGGACCAGCCCCGGTTGAGGAGAGGATGGGGCGGGGTAACTGAGGGCGGGGTTGGCGTGGGCGTGGCTAGAGGGAGAAGCCACTTGGGAGGACCTGTGAAGGACAAGTCAAAAGCACCAAATGGAAATGGACAAGGTAGGACGGGCAGTGGAGTTAAAAATCTAGCGGAGCCACGGAGTGGGACGACAGAGCGGCCGAGAGAGGTTTCTCTTGGGTGGACTGGACTAACGGTCAGTTCAGGAAGGAAGAGTCGGTGGGCGGGGCTACTGGGGGCGGGGATAGGAGGGCGGAGTCGGTTGAGGGGCGGGGCCAGGGAGGGAGGGGCCGGGCCACGGAGAAATTGGCCCTTGGGCTTGGCTTTTTTTTTTTTTTTTTTTTAAAGAGAGAGTGAGAGAGGAAAGAGAGAGAGAGAGAGAGAGAATTTTTAATATTTATTTTTTAGTTCTCGGGACACAACATCTTTGTTGGTACGTGGTGCTGAGGATCGAACCCGGGCCGCACGCATGCCAGAGGAGCGCGCTACCGCCTGAGCCACATTCCCAGCCTGGGCTTGGCTTCTTTGCCAAATGATACCATCGTAGGTTCTCCACCATGACCAAGGTTAGATCAGTTTTATTACCCCAGAAAATTCTTTCGTTCATCTTTTTTGTTGTCATTTTCTCTCCCTATGTCCTTCTGATTTTATTTTCCAGGATCACATATAAATGGAGCCCTTCCATTTTAGTCTGGCTTCATTCATTTAGCACAATGCATCTGAGATTCATCCATGTTGTTGCTCATATCAGTGGTTTATCTCTTTTTTTTTTTTGCTGTGTATTATATGAATGCCCTACAGATTATGTGTGTGTGTATTTTATATAATATATATATATATATATATATTTTATATATATATATATATATATTTTTTTTTTTTTAACCAACTGAAGGATTTTTACATTATATCTCTGGTAGTATTTTTGTTTGTTTTGTTTTGTTGTACCAGAGATTGAACCCAGGGATGCTTAACCACTGAGTTACATTCCCAGCATCCCCCACCCCATCCCCTTTATTTTTTCTTTATGGTTTTTTTCTTTTTTTGAGACAGGGTCTCACTAAGTTGCTTCAGGCCTTGCTAAGTTGCTGAGGCTGGCTTTGAACTTGCAATCCTCTTGCCTCAGCCTCCCAAGCCACTGAGATTATAGGCGTGGGCCACTGTGCCCAGATAGTTTGGGGCAGTTATAAATAAAACTGCTACAAACATTGGTGTACAGGCATGTGAACCTAAGTTTTCATTTCTGTTGGGTAAATTCTTAGGGGTGACATTGCTGAGTCATAAGGTAACCATGTGTGGAGCTTTATAGGAAATTGCCAAATTTGTCTTCCAAAACAATTGTACCATTTCTAATTTCTACCAGCAATGTATGAGAATTCCTGTTGTTCCATATCCTCACCAATATTTGACAATATTTGTTGTTATTTTGTTTTTTAATTGTATCCTAATAAATGAGTAGTGGTATCTCATTAAGTCTCCAATTTGTGTCTTCATAATGAGTAATATTGTTGAACATATTTTTAAAAATACTTTTTAGTTTTAGTTGCACACAATACCTTTATTTTACTTATTTTTATGTGGCACTGAGGATTGAACCCACGGCCTCGAACGTGCTAGGCAAGCACTCTACCGCTGAGCCGCAACCCCAGCCCCAATGTTGAGCATATTTTAATGTTTTCTTAGCCATTGGTATATTTGCTCCAATCTTTTGCCCATTAAAAAAGGGGGGGTGGGTATTGAGTTTTAAGAGTTCCCTATTAGATCTATGAATTGCAAATCTCTTCTTGCGATCCATGGCTTGTCTCCTCCTTTTCTTCCCAGCACCTTCCAGAGAGCAGGAGTTCTAAGTGTTGCTGTTTTCCCAGTTCTGGGGATTGAATCGGGGTGCTCCTCTGCTGGGTGCTGTTGTTCATGCTACATGGAAAATCATGTCCTCTGTGAAGAACAGCTTTGTTACTTTATTTCCAATCTGTGTCTTTATTTCTTTCTTCTCAGTGTTGAATAGGAATGATAAGAGTGGGCATCTTTGCCATGGGATTCCTTTAGTACCACAGTAACTTGACTAAAGGCTCTTTCAGGAAGACTGTTGGGCAGCCTCAATGGGGGAGGGGGAGGGGAGGCTGCTGAAAAGACAGAAGAGCCTCTCTGCTCGTCACCTCCCACCCTTTCAGTCACCAGCCCACCACTGCCATATCTGATTCTCTCCCACGGGGGACTCCTCTGCTTGGCCCTTCTTCCTCAGCCCTGTGGTCTGCCTGTCTTCTCCCCTCTCCAGCTTCACTCCATCACTACATTTGCCTGACAGCCTTTTCCCTTCCTCCATCCTGTGATTCTTCCAGCCCCAGGTCAGGCCATAGGCCATTGCCCTTCCTTCCATGCTCAGAATGAGGCCCTCCACATCCAAGATCCCAGTCTCAAAGGACCAAAATGTGGTCGGCCCTCTGAGATTCACCAGACAGGGCTCCTTTCCGTTACTTGCAGCATCCATGACAAGCATTGATTCCTTGCTCCAACTTTCATTCCCTCCCTACTTCGTTCCCTGACTGCAACTCCCCCTGGAGTCACTTGCTTGGTGGCTAGACTCTGGAACCAGTCCGCATAAGTCCAAGTCACAGCTCCACCACATACCAGCAGGGAGACGTTGTGTGTGCTACTTAGCCACCTGATCGCTCAGTGCCCTATCCGTGAAACAGAGAAGTGTGGGTGAATTCACAAAAGGCACACAGAACAGTGGCTGGTACCAGAAAGTGCCCTATGGGCTGCTGTAACACTCACTACCATTCCTTCCCGGGGTCGTCTACACATTTGTGCCTCATTCTCAAAGCCAAGCAACCCCCACCCTTAATGTCCCAAGCCACCTGTTGTCCGCTCTGTGCCTTATTCCCTGAAAGAGCTGACCGTGCTCACTAGCCCCACCCTTCACTTCGTAGCCCACATCAACCCAGCACCTGCCCTTGCTGTCAGGATGATGCTCTCATCGATGGCCAAAGCCAGCAGACATGCTTCAGACTACTCTTTCTGGACTGGACACAGCCTCTGAAACTGGAAGTAGCTGGAATAGTCCTCTTCAATGTCTTAGCACTTAACCCTCTGGGCTTCTTCTCTGCATATGCCTGGGTGCTGTGGGCTGGGTTGCCTACCCTCTTCTGTCTATGCCACCCTGGCCACTACCCACGGTGCTCAAGGCCTTGTGTTGCAGCTGCCCTCACCATCCTAAAAGTAGGCTGGCCGGGCTGTTTGCAGTGCTTTCAATCCCAGTGCAGTACTGGACTTTAACTTTATGAATTGAACCCAGGGGCATGGTAGCACTGAGCTACATCCCCAGGGTTTTCAAACAGGGTCTCACTGAGTTGCTGAGGCTGGTCTCGAACTTGCAATCCTCCTGCCTCCATGTCCCGGGTCGCTGGGATTTCAGGAGTGCACCACCAAGCCCGGCTTGACTAAGACATCTTTGATACCTGAAATATTTCCGGCTGGGAGTGTATCTGTGAAGTCGAGCATGTGCTTCACATGTGCAAGGCCCTGGGTCTTCCATCCCCAGCACACAAAGAAGAGAAATCTGAGTAAATGAGTGAACCAACACACAAAAGAATCAACATTGGGGGATAGAAGAAAAGAGAGAGAGGAACAGAGAGAAGCCTGGTGCCCTGATCCCCTGGGATAAGGGGAAGAGGCAACAGGAACTTGGGCAGAGAAGATGCCACTTGATTTGGGTTGGTCCCATGGAGTGTGAGTGCGTTGAGACACAGAATTGCAGCAGGAGCCCAGGAGTGGAGCCAGTGAGAGAGGCTGGTCTAGGTGCCTCAGAGCTGTTGGATTCTATTCGTGTCGGATAGAGATCCATGTGGGGAGAGGAAGGTATTCAAATGTACTGCTCATAGATTTGAATACCTTAAAGCATTTTTCTATAACTTACATGTAATCAACCTTTTCTATACTTTATACACATCTAACCAAAAATTTTTTTTTCTAAATTTAAAAATTCTGTAAATTTTTTAATACTCTGCCATGAATTAATTTATTTTTTCTGGTACCAGGGATTGAACCCAAGGGTGCTTTACCATTGAAGCTGCAGCCCTAATCCTTGGGATGTTTTGTTTTGAGAGTGGGTCTCACTAGGTTGCTAGGGGCCTTGCTAAGTTGCTGAGGTTGGACTTGAACTTGTGATCCTCCTGCCTTAGCCTCCCAAGTCACTGGGACTACAGGCGTGCACCACTGCACCTGGTAGGATACTAGTTTCTTAAGTGCTGTAGCACCTTAAAGGAGGCAGAACCTCATAGAGTCCAGTGGTTCGTGTTGCTTTTTGCACATGGTGGGATGTTCCAGAGCTATCCTGATGTGGAATCCTAGTTCCTTCTCGTGGAGAATAGGGTTGAAGATCAAGGTTTTCATGCCTGGGCCCTGGGAGAGTTGTGGGTGGACAGAGGTGCTGCTGGGCCACTTCCCATCGTTACAGACTATTTGCTAGCTAAAGCTCTTGAAGTTGTGCTGAGACTCATCTTGGTCTGGGAGGAGGAGGGGATGAGGCCGATGGATGGAGTGGGGGGAAGGAGAAAGTGGCATAAGGGAGAGGAGAGGCCAGTCCGTGTCCAGGGGAGGACTTGACCTTTGAGCTTGACCTTTACTGCTTTGGGTACTGAAGGTCTTCAGCCCAGACTTTCCTGGACCATGTGATTTTGGACTAGGAAAATATGATTGGACATCCCCACTGCCACTGCCCTCCCAGGTAGGGAAATTCAATTAAGGCACATTTTTAGAAAAAAAAAAAAAAGATGCGGGAAAGTGAAGTGGGAGAGGGGTGGTGACACTGTCTTTGGAGCAGCTGAACAGCACAAGGAAGCTCTTGGGAGGTGCCAGGCAGGACATGGCGGGAGGACGTGTGTGGCCAATGGAGACAGAGCAGGGGTGTGGCACAGAGAGGGACAAGGTGATGAGGAGCCCTGAGAAGGCAAGAGGGGAGGGTGCCAGGTCAGCACTCATCTGGGGAGTGCACAACCCCTTCGACCAGGGCTGTGCCAGGACCCAAGTGAGTTGGTAAAGCAGAGGCTCACAAGTGGGTGGCTGGAGCTCACTCTTCCTGGGAGCCTGGGGAGGCAGGAGCCCCTGGGTCACTCTAGGGCTTCCCCGCCCCAGGAGCCTTGCTCCAGGCCTGGGTTGAGCCCTGGCTTAGCTGACCAACTTAGGCAGGGTCCCTGGGAGATGGCCTTGCG